GAGCCGTTCTACCGCTCTTTACGAGGTTTTATGGGCGTATCGTATCTAGAGAAACAAGAGTCATAAGGCTGAGTGAGGTCACCGGATTTGAGAAAGAGAGAGAGAGAGACCACGCAGCGGCGACTGATGACGAGAGGGGCAACATGAGAACATGCTGCAGAGGGCAGGTGTCTGCATTCACAGCACTCTGCGAGGTCTCTTCGAGATTAGCGAAGGGTGACAGATGCTCCATCTGGCATGGTGCGCCTCTCGGAGCCTGGCGATACGGGCGGGGATGGGCGGGTGCGGCCCTGCTGGGTTTAATTTTAGAGATGTCTTTGCCGCTAGTGGCGCTCTCTTTTAGTCTGTCTTCAGGGGACCGCCCTGACGGCGTTTATGGTGGTTGGCTTCCCGCTTGATTCCATGACTAGACTCTGGCGGGTTTCCCCCATTGTGCGTTGTTGACATCGTTTGTGTGTTTATTTCTGGCGGCTTCTTTGTTGGCAGAAGGCTGAGGACAACTGCCTCTAGAGTCGGGGACCCCCTTGGACTTGATCTGGGTCTAACAGCCTGCAGCATCGCGTGGCAAGTGCCGAGTGGTCTGGTTGGACAAACAATAACATGCGTGATGTGGCTTTCACCCCCAAGCTGTCAGTCCCAAGCTACCTCTGCAAGCCTTTGAATACCCGCGGGCCATCAACATGCTGTGATACCTGCCCAGCAACTCGGTGTCGGTGTGGTTCAGCGGCCGAGGGCGCTGCAAGCCTGCAAGCCCTGCGCCTCCTCCACAAAACCGTGTGGAGAGACCAAACTCTGTACCCAAGATTTCAATATCTCCAAGGCAAGATGAAGCGCATCAGGTGACCCGAAATGTCAGCAAAAACGAGAGACACTGTCTCCACGGGCGGGCTGGCAGGTGGAAAGGGCGGGTTCGGCATGACAAACCGACCCCATCGATCTCCATTCACACAAGTCATGAGCAAGAAGGAGAAAGCAAAGGTAGCGGTGGGCTGAGTGACGTTTCGAAGCTGGGATCGGCCTGTCCCGTCGTGTTTTGAGCAAAGAAGCGCCCGTGCAAGCGAGAAGTCTGTCCAAAGTCCACACCGCAGGGCTGGTTGATGGACTCGGGGTTGGTGGATGATGAGCGAAGCAGAGACCACATCCTACCTTACCCGACTGTGCTGTTCTTGCCCAGGCTCCAGCATCATGCACAGCCACCTACCTTCTGACAGCCGCCGGCGGGATGGGTTGAGTGAGTAAACTGTGAGGCAGAGGCAACCCAGCCAGTTGGATACGAGTATCCGGACTACAGTACCGTACCTACGCCCCCGGGGACAGGCGATCGGTCCGTCTAGCTTTCATGGTTGCAGCGAGCCTTGATCTCGTGAGGCGCGGGCATGCAGGCGGGCTGCGAAAGAAAAACAGTCCGGTGGGTTCGGGGTCATGGAACGTTGCGGGCTGCGGCGCGGCGCGGCATGGCGCCCTCCTCCCCTTTTGGCTGTCGCCAGGCTCACCTTACTCACCTCGGCACCGAAAGTCAGAAAACGGTCGTCGCCACTGGCAGAAAGAAGAAGCCTCTCACCTTCGTGTCTGGAAATAGCGCCTGATGCCAGATGGGTGAAAGCCCCGTGTCCGGCCTTGGCCTTTGGCCTTCCCAGCGGAGAATCATGAAGATCTCTGGGGCCTTCGGGGCGCCGGCACGACGTTCTACGAGGCTAAGAAAAAATTGAACCTGCGGCAGAGAGATTTGCTGCCGCGGAGCTCATGGGGAGAGATACTGAAATTGACGGTGGGCAATAGGGGGCCGGACTGGCTGACAACACCGTGGATTGGATATGGATATTCGTAGCCCGGTCCTGGGTCCGCCTGTTTCGAACCGGCGGGCTGAAGTCGGTTCGCAGCTTCACGAAGAAAAGAAACTTAGGGCAGCTCGGGACGAAGGCACTCCTGTTTCACGGAGGACCCAGCAAGTCGCAGCTGGAGCCTTGGCTATGAGCCAGGGACGCTGAGATGGGCTGGTTCTGACCCCTCGGGGGGGCGCCAGCCCAGGCTGACGGGGAGGAGATGATGGATCACGGAACATTAACAAACGGGGCGATTGCACAGCTGTGATGAAATGGAAACCCGACTGCGAATACAACATATCGGGATCGAGGCGTCGTGGTTGGCTGGCGGCGGCCGCGGGTCTCGGTGCATGTTGCTCGGCTGAGCATCTAATCTGAAGATCAATCAACGGGTGACTGGGCCGGGTGGGAGATGGCGAGACGCGAAGTGGCAGAGTCGCAGAGAAACAAGTTCCAAGCTTCCAAGATTCGGCCAACTTCATCGTTGACAAGGTGAGTGAGGTAGGTAGGTGGGCTACAGTGAGAAAACTGCCCAGAACTCCCGTCTCCTGCGTCGCTGGGCGCAGCTTGCTTACTATGATTGCTGGCCTCCCTCCGTCTCTCCCTGATTATGCACGCGCGCGCTCGCACTAAGGCACATGGCAAGTCTAAATGCAGGGTCTCGACGTGGCATCCATCCAATAAATCCAAAGTCCCCTTCTGTACGTACCGGCAATCTGACAAGGGCGATGCGCGCTGCCCTGCGCGGCAAGACGTGCTCGTAAATCTGGACGATGATGACTTGTGAGCGGCACTGAGACGATATATTGACGTGTTGCTAAGTTAAGGTGAGTTAGGCAGGCCCCGGGGGATCTTCCAATGACGCAGCGAGAGAGTTTGGCCTCGCAGCGGGAGGCACACGGCAACCGCGACTTCGGGCGATGGGGAACGCCAAAGATAGGATTAACACGGTTCTTACGGGGGGGTCAGTTAGGGTTGCTGAGTCGGTCTCGTCGCGTGAAAGAGAGAGAGAGAGAGAGAGACAAGACAAGACAGACTCGGACGGTCACGGATGCGTCGCAGGGATCACCCCACTGCTTCAGAGATGATCTATTAGACGAGCAAGACATCACCAAAGACGCGACGGCAGGCTGTTGTGACTTGTGCCCTATCACGATGCGGTGCACTAGTACTGTCCCATGCTCTGTGTCCTGTGGTCTGTGCCTGTGTCTTGTTTGGGGGACCATTGCAGACTGCGGCGCCCCTTATTTTCCCAGGCGAAGAAAGCGGTATGTCATTGTTTTGGTGCTCGACAGGACGCTCCGATCAGCTATGGGAGTTGAACAGGGCATCCGTTTAGCGGTAGCCATCATCGACACACCGGGCGAGGCATGAGGAATGCGGGAGAAGGAGGAGATCGGTGATGTTTGACAATGAGCGAGTACAACCGACAGGCTGGCTGACACATTTGACGTTACCTTACCTTGCAGTTGGCACAAGAATGTTCTGCCTCGTGGCAGTGATGGGTTGGAATGCGCTGGAAACGGGCCGGATGCAGAGGCCGGCAGCGTCAAGATGCCTACCTACCTTAGACATGCCCTGTGGTGGAATTCCGCTGGCGGCATCCGTACTTGTCTGGTATTAGTGGTGTGGCTTCTTCGCGTTGGTGTCAATCTCTTGCGCTGATCATCCAACGTCGCGAGAGACGGCGGTTTCGCGGACTGAGCTTTCCAGGAAATTATGCTTGATTCCCGTGGGCCGTCATCCGCAATGATGCACGGCGGGTGGATAACAGGTCCTCGGTAGCCTGGAGAGGCCATCGGATAGAGGCCGATGGAGAACCGATGCGCTGGAGGCGGCCTTCTCTTTCGTTGTCTTGATCGATGTTCAGTACAATGTACGACCACCCAGAACCCAGATATGCAGCCCCGGCCGATCCCTCAGGAACGGATGGCAGGCTGCTCCAAGCTCTCTCTTTGGCAGCAGCAACACCATCCGTCCTCCTTCCCATACCTCCTTCTGTTCCTTTTCCTTCTCCGAGGCCTTGGGAGGAACTTTGGAGACACTCTCTCTCTCTCTCTCAGGAAAGGAACTCGGGGTCTCCTCACCCAGGCTCTGCCTTACGGAAAGGAGATCCCGGCCGAAAAGAAAGCAGCGCCACTCCACTCGGTGCCTTTCTTCTTCGGGCAAGGCGGTCGAATCCGGCGGCTCTGATTGGTTTTAGGGGTCAGCGTGTAAATTAACCCAGATGGATCCTGGACACAGGAAGCAGCAGCCCACCGGTTCCAGGGGCCTTCATTGTGGGGAGTGGACTTCCATGCCTTCTCTCTTCTGGTCATGCCGCCACTCACACTTCTTGGGTGGACAAGTACCTTACTACGGTTCTCTTACTCTACTATGTACCTACCTGCACAAAGTACCTTTTGTCTCCTCCATTGGAGAACAAAGTGAACGGCCCCGTCACCCCGGCCAACCTACCGCATGGGAACGCCCCAAGAGCCAAAAAGACCCAAAGACCCAAGGGCTAAGACCAAGACCAAGCAGCCAGGGGTGCCAGCTGATGGTGCAGGACTGAAAGGCTTGGCCGATGACAGTCGCTCCCCCAGCCCAAGGGCACCATCAAGGGCACCAAGGGCCGGTGCAGGGTCCTGAATAAGGTACGAGGTCGTATTGATTCGCCCAGCCATCCCCCGTCCACACCACCACACACCCATCCCGTGCTCCCCTTCCCAGGCACCGTGGAGACTTTTTGCAGCCACCCATGCCCAGCAGAGATGGCCCTGGGTCGTGGTATTCGTTTCTGCTAGCTAGTTTGGGCCGTCTGCTGCTTCCTGCCTGGTGCTGCCCTGGCCTCGCTGCTGTGCCTCACCTCACTTGCAGAGGATAATAAAACCACCTCCCCCCCATCGTGTGTCTGTGTCTGTTCTCGTTCACCTCCTCACCTCTCCTACTTTGCTTCCCCACGAGCACCCTCATACCTCTTCTAGCTTACCGGCTTGTCTCTCGTTAATCAAGCCTTTGTTTTTATTTCCACACTGTCGCTCCTACCCAAGCTCCTTCCAACTTTTCAGCTCGAGCAACAGCCAGCCTCCTTTTAATACACAAACACCTCGCCCTCGGCAACCAGAACATCCATCACCTTCAAACTTTTCCTCCATCATCTCAGTCTTGATACATCAAGTCTCAACAACAGGCACAATGTTCTCCAAGATCCTCACCGTGGCTCTTGCCGCTACCGCGGTCACTGCCCAGACCTTCACCACCTGCGACCCTACCAAGAAGGGTATGTATGACCGTTACATTTCACCTTCCCGTTTTTTCAAGGCTTGCTTGCCGGGACCACCTTGCTGACTTGGTTTTTCAGACTGCCCTGCTGACCCTGCCCTGGGCAAGTCCGTCAGCATTGACTTCACCAAGGGCAACAACGACGATGTCTTCCGCAAGCTCGACGGCACCTCTGTGAAGTTCGAGGATGGCGGTGCCCTCTTCGCCATCAACAAGGAGACTGACGCCCCCACCATGGCCTCCAAGAAGTACATGTTCTTCGGAAAGCTCGAGGTCGTCCTCAAGGCCGCCCCCGGCAAGGGTGTCGTCACCTCCGTTGTCCTCCAGTCCGACGACCTCGACGAGATTGACTGGGAGTGGATCGGCAGCGACACCGCCCAGGTCCAGACCAACTACTTCGGCAAGGGTGATACTACCACCTACGACCGCGGTGCTTACCACCCCGTGTCCGACCCCATCAACGCCTACCACACCTACACCATTGACTGGACCTCCGACTACGTCAGATGGTCCATCGACGGCACCCAGGTCCGCGAGCTCAAGTACGCCGACGCCAAGGGCGGATCTCGCTTCCCCCAGACCCCCATGGAGGTCAAGATCGGAACCTGGGTTGCTGGCCGCAAGGACGCCCCCAAGGGCACCGTCGAGTGGGCTGGTGGCTACACTGACTTCAACGAGGCTCCCTTCAACGCCTACTACAAGAGCATCACCATCACCGACAACATGGGTGGCAAGAAGGGTGCCAAGGAGTACGTCTACGGTGACAAGTCCGGCAGCTGGGAGTCCATCATTGTCAAGACCGAGTCCAGCTCCGACGACGACTCCTCTTCCTCCGCCGCCTCCAGCAAGACCTCCAAGGTTGAGACCAAGACTACCATGACCACCGTTGCTTCTGGCTCTGCCACCGCCTCTGGCTCTTCCGAGGCCACTGCCACTGGTTCCGCCACTGCCACTGGCTCTGGTTCTTCCTCCGGCTCTTCCAGCGCTTCCGCCACCGGTGCCTCCAGCACCACCGCTGCCCCCGCCACCGTCACCGGCGCCGGCTACGTGAACAAGGCCAACCTTGCTCTCGGTGCCGCCGGCCTCTTCTTCACCTTCCTGCTGTAAGCAGCTCCCGACCGAGTAACCCGATCAACGACCGTACACGCACGCGTATGACTCAACAAAATAATCCCATTTGGAGAGCGGATTGTACAATTCTTCGACTTACACCACGATCCTTATCCCGACTGGAGTACGCAGGCCGTCCCCAGCTTTTTGGGGCGCCTTGGGCGACCAGTCGAGGCCAACCTTGACTTAATCTGGTACTTTTAATGATTACGCCCTCCGCGGCTTTTCCTTGGATCCTTGGGAGGATAGGATGGGGATCAGATCCGCGACTGCCATGCGATTCTCAGGGTGTTTGTTTTTGTCCACTCGAGAGGAGGAAGAAGAAGAAGAAAGGAAGGCAGCAGCGGGAACATTTCGCACGGGAACATTGCAGCTTTCGGGCGGAGGAGGTTTTAGATTTGGTGTGTTTTCAGCCGATGGTTTATGATACCTTAGAACAGTCGCCTCTCCAGGGAGGTTGAACTAGTTGCTCAACAAGAATTCTTTTGATAACATGAGTCGTCTTCTGCCCCCTCCCTGAACAGATCGTGAATGACTTTATTTTTACTTGGGCGATTGGGTTTTCGGGTGACTCGCATAAAAGAGGATCACCGAGATGATCAGCCGTAACGTCTTGGCGGATACGAGAAGGTGCAATTTCCAACGTTTGAGGTTAAGGAGCAGTCATGGGCCCACCTTGCTGACTTGAGTCGGGCGTTGAACCCGCTCCAAAGACAAGATGAGGGGACAACTGGAGGGGGGAGGGGAGGGAATTTGGCTCCTTGGCTCCTTGGAGAGCCGAGAGAGAGAGAGAGGGAGGGGCGCGCCCGGCCAGTGTTCCTGCGCCCTACCTTATTCGGACCTAATTTCCACCATTTCGCGCGGGAAAAAGAAGCAAACGCGAAATTTCACGATGCGCCAACGGGCTAATCAACCAGTAAGAAGACCGAAAGCCAACAGTCCCGCCGCCGCCCTACAGCGCGGTCGTGCCATCAGCCACACTGCAGCCTAGAATCGATCATGGCGTTTGTCACTCACTGCACGGTACTTATCTCATTAGCCCCAACGTCTCCTAGAGTCCCAAGGCCAGCGCCAGCACACGTTCGGCGCGACGCATTTTACCACACCACCCCTCCGGCCGGATCCTTCGCTCGCCAGGACGCGATTGTTTAGGCAATCTGAGAGAGTGAGGGGGAATCATCTTGGTAATTAATATTAAACTGCTTGAGCCAAGATGTGTTCGCCAGGTCGCCCTGCGGCATAATGTCTTCCCAAGGTCTGGGCAAACACAAGCGATCAAAGGGACGGCGACGGCGCATCTTTTAGGTATCGTGTGACCCAGTCCAGACCAATTTTATCACCGCCGGAGCTGCTTTCCAGCCGGGGAGGAGCACCATTGACCCTCGCTCACCGCATTTGTTTATTGTTCGTCCGAGCCCGCGGATACCTGCCGACCCGACCTCCTGCCTGCCATTGCACCGGTGACCCAGGTCGAGCCCAGGTCGAGGTGAAATTGGGGACCCCGCCCGGCGGACGGTGGACCGCGAGCCTCGGCCTCCTCCCAGAGAGCCAGTCCTTTTCGGTGCCGCTCCAGCCGCACAAGCATCAGTGCGAGGGCGATCAAATATCAACTGGGCGGTGGACTACGGATTTATTGCTGTGTGTGTCTTGGTAATCAAGCAATGCGAATTTTTGACGTGATTGCCTCCAGGCCCTTGCATTAACGTCTCAAGGGACTGCTAGACGTTGCAGGGGAAGATAACAAGAGACGGGTGGGGTTGACGAGGAAGGATTTCAGTAGGCAAGCGACTCGGTTTAATCTCAAATTGTCTCGGCCGGATGGATTTGGCAGGCAGGCACCGGCTGGGGGTCATGGTTCGGCAGGTGGAGACGATATCAGCCGAAAGCTGAATGCTGGAGTTACGAATTCTGATTTTCGGCTCGTCTTGCCCGGCCACCGCACTCTGATTCGGGAAGGAACTGCCGGCCTTGCTCCGAGGTTTTGCTCCGGGACGGGGCTTGCCAGTTGCCTGGCCCGGCAGCCGGAAGGTCAGGCACAGATATTCACGGTGTAGTGGGGCCGAACCTGCCGTCGACGTGCATATGCGTGCCGGCAGGTTTATGCAGGTACGGCGCATACTGCCATGGTAGTTGCTCTTCAGTGGCAAAATCGTCATTTTTCCCAGCTTCTTCTATTTTTCCCCTTTCCAGCTGCCGACGGCGGCCAATCGAAGCATTCCCGACATTGCGGTTGCTACCTGACACAACCACCTTAGGCCATGGCCGGCTCAACGTCAGAATGTCCATCCTGCGCTGGCGTGCCAGACTGACGGATTGGAGAGGCGCCTTCGGCCAACGTTCGGATAACTGTCTCAACATCACCACGTACTGCAACCATAACTACCGCCCAGCATTGCCGAGCCGGTGGTTCTTCGAACGATTAAGCCTCCCACGGCCGGAAGAACGGCGTCTGAAGTGTCATCGCCCCACGCCGACTACGGACGCACACCGCCGCGATTTCACGTCGGGATCTCGGGCAGCAAAGTTTCAGCATGCCCCCGACCGCCAGTCGCGGCGCGGGATCTGCTGCTCGGAGATACGTAATCCCATCTCGTTGTTTGGGCTCCGAACAGTGGGCTGTTGTTCGATCGGGCCCGGCCTCTGAAGGGTTTGAAAAGTGGCATCCCAACGGGCGGCAACCGCGGAAGCAAAAAGGGGTGGAACATGCATCGACAGCAGCAGCAACAACAACAACAGCGCTGCGTGAAACTGGGTAGCCCACAATTATGTGCTCTCGCGTCGACGAGATATCTCCGTCCCGTCAGCACCTTACTGCAGCCTGCATCCTCGACCCTTGTCACCGAAGATAGGTCCCTGGCCAAGACACTTCACCATCGGTGAGAACACAAGACTCTGCATCTCCACCTTGGCCGAAGGACTCTTTCAGAACATCGTGAGATCCAGTGTCGACGGGCGTCCCTCTGTGGACTCGTGGGTTGGGAATGTTGAAGATCTGAACTCTAAAAAATTGACATTTCTTGTCTAGAGACACGGACGGGGACGGCAGACGGGAGACGGGAGACGCCGACTGGAACGACCGGCGGGAAGCGGATCGTGGTGACGTGCTAGTGGCCCCTGCACGACAAAGTTTCCCATTCCGAAGCCCACAAAAAAGCACGTTTCTAGAAGCTTGCCGGAACCAAAATGCCAGTGCGGACGAATGCCGCCCACGGAAGAGCCCGCACTTGACGTAAGAATGCCACACTTTCTGAGAGCCGCAAATGCCAACCCAGGAGGGACTCAAGGGAAAGCTGTCTGCTGGAGAACAGAGAACAAATTTTACTGTGGCGGTGGATACCGAGGTTCTCCCGCCCTTGTCTTTCTTTGACTGACACATGGAAGAACTCAAAGAACGACAGAGAACCGTAAATCCCCAACCTACCACTTTCTCAAACACCTGGCAACCTCCAATTTTTCTCTTTCGGCCCCTCCCTCAGCTTCCATGGCGGTGTGAGTCCGTGCAAGTGCCGAAGAATACTGGAGTCGATGACATCAAAACACCATGATCGCTCGGGACTGGCGGCCAAGAACATCCTGGATCTTTTCCTTATCGCCAACGGATCTTCTTCTTTCCAGGGATCCATATGCACTGTAAACGTGTGTTAGACAGCTGCTCGGGCCTAGCCCGGACAGTCCCCATCTCTGTCGCCAATCCTTGAACCCATCGGGAACTCCAACGCCGTCTGAAAGAGCGAGGACACGGCACGCCGGAAACCTTGCTTCGCTGTTTGCTGGCCTCTCGCGGGTTGCCCCCCATCCAATCCAATCTCCCATTCGCAACCTCCTACCCATAGAGAAGCTCTCAATCCGTGCGCTGCTTGAACAAGATTTCTAAGCCAGATAACAACTGAACCCACCCGAGCTACGCGGAGTGGCCACTCCCGCTCCAGTCGGACGAATCATTACGACGCATCTTGACCTTCTTTGGCCTTCTCTGGAAAAGTTCCGCTTCTTTCAAACCACCATGTCCCCTGGCGGGAGCCACCACGGGTATCACCAAGGATCCCTCCCTTCTGCGATCTGAGCCGCGGCATCGAGCCGCACTTTGGTGCCATCTTGTTCCCAGCTCGTTCCCGCTGTTTGACCCCACCCGTGTTGCAGTTTTTTTTTTTTCTCTCACTCTCTTGCGTGGATGCTATCGTCCCAAGTTACGGTTCCTTGGACGACGACGGCGGCGTTAATGCCTCTTCGCCGATGTGGTTTAGGACTTAACGTTGTTTTGAAGATGGGGGTTCGAAGGTTTAAAAAGAGCTGAGCTGCTCCTCCTCTTTCAGGTCTTTCATTTTGTGGAAGACACTCTCAACTTACACACATCAACTCAACTCTTCAGCAACCTCAACAACCTAAGATACCCTTTCTTTTTATTCCTTACCGACAACACATAATCACAATGGCCGCTGCCGACTACAAGTTCGAGGGCTGGGTTGGCCTCGACGAAAAGTCCAGCGAGGGCAACATGGTCTGGCAGCAGTACGACCCCAAGCCTTGGGAGGAGACCGACGTCGACATCCAGATCACCCACTCCGGTGTCTGCGGTTCTGATATCCACGTCCTGCGTTCTGGTTGGGTAAGTTTACAGCAACAACACCACGCACGTCGCTGCGATGTGACAACAAGCTAACATGTCACCAGGGCCCCGCTCCCTACCCCGTCTGCGTCGGCCACGAGATCGTTGGTGTCGCCGTCCGCGTCGGCTCCAAGGCCGAGGGCGGCATCAAGGTCGGTGACCGCGTCGGTGTCGGTGCTCAGTCCGACTCTTGCCTCGGCCGCCAGGGCGACTGCGAGCCCTGCTCCACCAAGAACGAGCAGTACTGCCCCAAGTCCGTCCACACCTACGGTGCCTTCCACTACAACGGCGGCAAGGCCATGGGTGGCCACGCCAAGTACCACCGCTGCCCTTCGCACTTCGTTGTCAAGATCCCCGACGGCCTCGACTCCGCCTACGCCGCGCCCATGCTGTGCGGTGGTGTCACCGTCTTCTCTCCCTTGAAGAACCACGGCTGCGGCCCCGGCAAGACCGTCGCCGTCAGCGGTGTCGGCGGTCTCGGCCACATGGCCATCATGCTCGCCAAGGCCATGGGCGCCGACAAGGTCGTCGGTATCTCCCGCAAGGCTGACAAGCGCGACGAGGTCCTCAAGATGGGCGCCGACGACTACATTGCCACCGCCGAGGAGGGCGACTGGGCCAAGAAGTACGCCAACACCTTCGACCTGGTCATCTCTACCGTCTCCTCCTCCAAGGTCCCCATGCAGGACTACCTCAACCTCATCAAGCTGGACGGCTCCCTCGTCCAGGTCGGCATGCCCGACGACGGTGCCTACGCCATCGCCCCCGCTCCCCTCGTCATGCGCCGTGTCAAGTTCACCGGCTCCCTGATCGGCTCTCCCCACGAGATCCGCGAGATGTGGGAGCTCGCCGCCGAGAAGGGCGTCAAGCCTTGGATCCAGGTCCGCCCCATGAGCGAGGCCAACCAGGCCATCGTCGACCTCGAGGACGGCAAGGCCCGCTACCGCTACGTCCTCCAGAACTAAGTTGGAGGCTTGCGATAGTTATGGGATGAATCGCTGCAGGACAAGGACTACAGACTTACACGGAGCGGGTCTTTGCTCCCGCAGCATTGTACATAAGATGAGGTTGATGACATGACATGGGTGCATAGACTGGGCATAGCGAATCGGTTACATTATAGACGTATAGAGAGAGATAGGAATGAATCTCAAACTCGTGAAGCAACAAGCTTCAATTTGAACAAACTCTGCGACTAAATTGTATGTTTCGGTGGTGAGCGAAGTCCGGATGTTTGCAGTGATGTCACTTGCGGCGAGGAGTCACCTCCTCTTAGCGTGTGGGGGAATCGGATTCTAGTCCGAGCACAACACCCCCACATCTACCTACCGCCTTTCCTGGATGCTTATTGCACCACGACGGAGAACATGAACATGCGACTAGGTATCTGAGTATCTGTCGCCGGCAGCCATTGATTGTTCTGTTTCGGATCTCTGTAATTGAGCCCCTGCGAAGGTTGCCTGATAGGCACGCCCGCCTTGCGGTTGCCTAACGGCCAACATCTGCAAGGACTGCCAGAACAAGATAAATACTGCAGTGAGCATCCGTCCCATCTCATCATGAGACACGGCATCGCCAAGCCTGGTCTCCCAGTACTCAAGCAACTCAAGAAACCATCCGCCTACACCCCATTCAGTAAGCTCATGACCGCCCTACAACTGAAACTCTAAGGCTGATGGTCTTCCAGCATCCCGCCAGATCCACATCTCAAACATGCCCAGGGCAAAGCACAACGATGTTGAGGAATTCCACAAAGCGCTGAAATCAAGCAAACGCATCCTTGCCCTTTGTGGCGCCGGCCTCTCTGCGTCGTCTGGTCTGCCGACTTTTCGCGGTGCCGGAGGCCTGTGGCGCAACCATGATGCCACTTCGCTGGCGACCATGAACGCGTTCCGCAACGACCCCGGACTCGTGTGGCTGTTCTACGCGTACCGGAGACACATGGCACTCACTGTCAAGCCCAACCCGGCCCATTACGCACTGGCTGCTTTGGCCGAGAAGAACCCGGACTTCTTGTGTCTCACGCAGAACGTCGACGGTGAGACAACCCCTCGATGTTCACCAAGCTCTTTGGTCTTACCAACATTTTTGTTTGCAACGGTGTCTAGGAGGCGTGAGTGGATAATGACTGACACGGACAGATCTCTCGCCGCGAGCCGGTCATAGCGTAGAACAACTCCGCCGCCTACACGGCAGCCTCTTTGATATCAAGTGCGCCAAGTGCGACTATGTCGAACGCAACAACACCGCCGACCCCCTATGCCCAGCCCTTGCTCCCGCGTCGAAGGATGTCAAGGACCCCAATGAAACGCTACCCCTCCTAGACCCAAAGAAAAAGCTCCCCAAGATTGAGGATGCAGATCTCCCGCACTGTCCGTCCTGCAAGGAAGGCCTCCTGCGCCCGGGCGTGGTCTGGTTTGGTGAGAGCCTCGACGCGGGGATGCTGGACGGCGTGGATGCTTGGATTGAAAAGGGAAAGGTCGACCTGATGCTCGTCATCGGCACATCAGCGCAGGTATGGCCGGCTGCCGGGTACATCCTCAAGGCGCACAAGGCCGGCGCGAGGGTGTGTACTGTCAACCCCGAAGCTGAGGACAAGAATCAGATGTCCAAAGTCAAGCCTGGAGACTTTGCATTTGGGAGGGATGCTGCGGAGGTGCTGCCGTTGTTGCTGGAACCGGTCATTGGGAAGATTGACGAGAATGGAAGGTATTCTTGAGGAGAACGATTGGCGGCGACTTGATTGGTAGCGTGGCCCAAGATATCGATTACTTCGTTAGGCAATCTATCTTCGGCATCTATTCATTCACACAGCCAGATTGCAAGCCGCATATTCTCGTGCGGTCATGCTCAGACGAAGCTGCTCGGAAGTATGCTGGGTAGACTTTTACTATTCGGACGGGCAGTGCATAGGTGACAACAGGGACGACAAGAACAATAGGGATAATCTGATATATTGGAAAAGAGAAGAATAAAAAGTATTAAACCTGGCACAGGTAGTTCGCCGCCTGGTTAGTTTGAGGTATATGCCCAGATAGCAAAACTTCATGCGTAACTCAAAGGTTACCCTATAGAAGAGAAGCTGAGACTTTTTTATTACTATACATCCATACATGGGTATCAGATCCCCTCAATTACATCCTGTGTAGTATATATAGAATAAACGAGAGGGTACGAGAGGGAACAATATTGAATCATGGCCATGTTTCGATTCCAGGCGCTACAGCAGTATCTTGGTGAGATCTTTCCCTGCACCACTTCATTGCTGCTGGCTTCAAAACGTGAAACGATCACAAGCGGTCTGCGCAACCTGTCGACTGAGATGAAATATGTCCGGTAACGTTGAATGTTGACCAGCACGCGTGAGAGTTGAAGAAAGCTGAAATTGCCTCTCTGCGCACACATGTTCTCTCTGTTGTCTCGACTTCCATCTAATGATTCTTAAGCCAAGAGAAGGGGGAAACAAGTCTACTAATCATATGGTCAATTTCCCGCATGGAACGGTTTACTTCTCACTGGATTTACCCTGAGCTTTCTCAACTTACGTTACGACCGTCTTCATCAACACTAACTTTGCTGGATTCAAGACGGTTTTTCATTTTACCCAGACTAGAACGATGAAGATCTTTCAGCCGTTTTGGGGGACCTCATGAACAAGTCTATACATCAAAGTTGAGTATTTGAGTGTCCGTCGTGTGCAACCTCATGATCTCACACTCCCCAACCAAATCCCAATACCCACGATGTCTTCAAAAATAAAGTTGAATACTGTAACGTTCAAGTTCACTTTCATCACCAAGGAGGGTTCGAATTTGACCCTCAAGACAAGACTTCCCCTACAAAGCGGCCTCAGAAGTCATCTTGGCTCGCATCACATGATCACCTACCGATTCCACTCAATACCCCCCCCTCCCCATCTCACAAAGGCACGCAGCTCACTCCTCACACAAGCTCAGAACCTGCTGTTACCCAGATCGAGGAACTCATCACACGAGCAACGCACCAAAAAACGCAACAAAAAGACCTAATATGTTCAAAATATCACCCCCCTCACCGTCCGAAGCGGCCCGAATCGCCTCAATCCACATATCGTCAATGTCCTCGAACCCGCTGCTGCACCTCCAGTTCCCCACCCCGGCCTCAATCGCACACCTGCACGACCACCTCGCCCAAGACACCCTCCGCCACCTCGCAGCTTCGCGGGTCCTCGTCGCTCGCAGCAGCAGCAGTAGCAGCAGCAGAAACAGTCACGAAAACAGCGCCAACGGTGACAGCGCATCATCGCCATCGCCAGACAGCAGCGTCGCCTCGTTTGTGAAATGGGACCTCGTCGGCGTTCCCACACTCGGTTCGGAGCGCTTAGATGCGGGCGAGCAGCCGCAGCAGCATGCTACTGCTGCAGAACAGCAAGGAGGAGAGGAAAGCCATTATCAACAGCAACACCAAAAAAAGCATGTGGTGGTGGACGAGGACGAACAAGAGGACCTGTGGCCCGTCTCAGCCAACCAAGAATACCTCACCGCCTACTCTACCGCCGCCTCGTCCGCTCGCAAGCAAGCAATGGGCACCCGGCCTTTTGTCCGTGAGTGAATTTCTTCTTCAGCTGCTGCTGCGGCTCGTTTCTATCCTACACGTACCTACCTACCTGCTGCTTGATTTCTGCCGGGGCGGCCATTCATCCTAGTAGGCCGCCTCACACCCCTCCTCTCCTCCATAATCTCATCATCATCTCCCCATCCCGGTATTTCCCTTACGTGAGATTTTCGGAAGATGTCGCGTGCGGCGTCAATCCCATCTCCTCCCACTGGCAAACACGGCAGGCAAGAGAGGAGAGAGGCCGAGTGGTGCGTAATGGTCGTGTTCGCCCCCGGTGGTCCCCGCCAAGTCGACGTTCATTCACCAGCCCCCAAAGTCCGCAATTAAATGGCCCGGCTCCGAAGTCGCTCGCCGGCGGTGGGCCGAGAGTTAGTTCTCTTGGGAGGGGAAGGGACTTCGGCCATTTTGTTCCTTTTCGAACATGGAGATTGTATTTCGACGACTATCTCCGCGGGACCACAAATGACTCTCTCGCATAATGCCAGCCAGCTCCACGGAGAGAGAATACCCACAACTTTCACGTAGCACTTTGACATTTCCAAAGCCCGCCATTGGCGCTAATATATTACCCGGGAAATCTGACATATCGTGGGCCTGAACATTCATTCCCCGCCTTGCGGGTCTCCGCATGGCCTCTGCCGCTACGGCGGTGCGGCCGGTCGGTGGTCCGTTTTGTCGGGGAATGAATTGGGCCCCCTTCTAGATCTGACCTTCCTGTGTACCGACGACGGGTTCCGGGGCCGCGGAGCCGGGACGGCACTCGTGCGCGCCGTTTCAGACGAGGCGGCGTCCAGAGGGTTGCCGGTGTTCCTGGAGAGCACAATGGACGCTGCGCCGTTCTACAAGAAGCTGGGCTTCGCCAAGGTCGGCGGGTTCCGGATCTCGATACCTGCGAAGAATGGCGGCGAGGAAACGTACGAGGAGGTTTGTATGATGCTGGAAGCGGAGGCTGCGTGACATACTCTGTCCGGAGCCCGAAGCTGGCGCCAGACTCAGAAGATGTGTTGATGTAGGATAAAGGCACGCTTGAGCGTGAGCTCGTGTCTACTGAAGCACACACACCTGCAAGTCTCACTCATTTGATCGGATCGGCAGCATCTGCCTCTCACCCGCCGTCGCCACGTCTTCCGTCTCATGACCTACATTGATCGACCGCCGGTTGATAAACATTGACGGAAAAACGAATGCCAAGCTCATTGATTTCAGCGAGGTCTTCCCGCGATGGTGTTGGTTGGTTTGAACATCAGGCCTGAACCGGCTCGAAGGGAGGACATCGAGCAACGTCGGTCAACACCGCCCAGCCCTCCTCAACGCATCAGAGATTTCCATGACCAATCACATTTCCTAAGATCATCGGGTGCATGTGGTCTTGAACGTTGCTGTTCACCGGCTTGGGTTGGCATTAGCGTATTCTGTTGTGAACTGTGCGGATAAGAATGTTGGAAAAGACCCTTGAAATTTTGCCGCCGCAGCCCTGAATCGCAAGCGAATGTCGCGGGCCCGCAGCCCGGGATTCATCCTGCTTTCACGAGTTTATCGCTTCCTAAAACGTAGGCTTCTGCCCGTGCCCACAGCTTGCGGTTATGGAAGTTCTAGCCCGCGGGTTGAGGGTGATACCCCAGGGCAATCGGAGGAACTCCAGGTTGGAGATGTCGCGCCTCCCTCCGTAATAGATGCGTGTTGTCTTGCAGAAGAACGGTCTTTGTGTGACTGCACACTTGCAACTTTGCACGTAATGAGATGGACGACATTCGGGCTAGTATACGCCGAATATCAAAACTTATCCCCTTTTCTCTTGTTTTCGTCATGTTCCGTGATGCCACGAAGTTGGCCTGGTTTGAGGCTTCCTTAGGGCAAGGGACCTATTGAGGGGAGCGGACTCGAGTGGGAAACTGGCATTTAATAGATGGCATTTCACATGACTGCAAGCACTCTGGTTGCGTGGAATGTTGTCAATCGTGCTGCGGCCTCGGACCGAGAAGCAGAGGTTGTCGGGTAAATCTTCACCGGCCAGGAGCTGCCGCTTGGCGGACTCCCTACGGTCCCTACGGTCCCTACGGTCCCTACGGCATTCGTAGTTACAGGCGATGACCGGGTTGTCGAGGTTGGAAAGCACAGGCGCCAATTCCGCACCGCCGACGGCCCCCCGGAACGCTAGCGATAGAGCCGCCGGGCGTGCATCGTGAGTCTAGCGGTATTAGGAGCTCAATGACGTAAGAGCCGGCTAGGCACGTGCGTGAGGGGATTGCCCCTGTCTGGAGTTGCTGGGTTAGGGGGGTCGGGTCGATATGGGTGATGAGTTCGCGATGCCGCACAACACTCGGAGCGGTCCCCCACGAAAGGCGCGGTTTTGGAGAAGGAGAGTGGCTTGGGTATTGTTGAGAAAAAGCGGTCGGGAGACGCGAGATGCAGGGATTGTGGGGGTCTCCCGCGAAAGATGGTGGGAAGGGCAGGTTAAGCGTTTGCATGGGCGTTGAGATTTAAAGTTGGTTGAAGGACATGCGAGGTATCTGTAGGTAAGTAAAGTAGGTAGATGAGCACGAGGGACACTTGGGGGCTTTTCGGCAGGTGAGCCGACGTGGCAGCTGGCAGATGAGATAGATGAGTGGGATGCTGTGTGACCTTAGGTTTTGACAGAGACCAAGAAACAAGAGGCAGGTTGCAGGAGAAGCCGTTTGTTTGGTCGACACGGCGGCAGAACGAGCATGTGTTTTGTTGGTGTGGAGGGCCGGCCAAGAGCTAGGCATGACATGACAAAGATGGGAGTGGTGTTGAGAGGAACGATGGTCACTGAGTAAGTGAGTAGGGACTCACGGAGAACCCAGTGACGAGCCAGAGAAACAGGGCCGATGATTCGCAGGAGACCAAAGGTGTGCACCTGGTGGTGGATGCCCCGCAACCCCGCGTTACCAGCACCGACGCGACGGCGGACTGGCCGTGATTTGGCATCTAGACTAAGGTACTCCGTACAGAGTAAAAGTACGCAGCAGTAATCAGAGGGTATGTGGCATATGGAGCCTGGAGGGAGGATTCACGGCATCGTGGGATGCTGGGTGAGGTGCGTTCAACGTTGCAGGTTTATCCCTCCAGGTACCTTAGATAGGGATGGGATGCTCTGACACTCTGCTCGTCGGTTGTCGATGGACCAAAAGTTGGAGGTCGCACCGTCCTGACTCGGCAATTTTCAGCTGTTACGTTATCGGTATTGCCGCACTAGACCCAAAGGGGCTAGGGCGAGGTTTTCCATAAGGTAACAGGAGCCACTTTCGGGGTACGAGTGCGCTACAAGCGCCGGGAGGGGCCCAGGGCCCCAGGGTCGCCATCAAGCTGCAGACAGGCAGTGGGCGCCGGTGGGGCCCATGTTCCGCCCGAGTACCGCCGACTCGGATCTTGCAGCGCCGGCCCTTTACGAAAGAGAATTGAATGGTGGATGGATGCATGCCGCTGGTCAAACGGGCCTGACCTTGAATAAGCAGCTCGACAGTGACAGTGACAGTGACAGTCAAATATATGAGCCGTGATTTGCCCAAATGCCATTATGTATTTCTGTCTCGTAGCACCTTCTACCCAACGCCCGGCCGGGAATGGACAGAGATAAGGCTGCCTCCATCACCGGCCCATGTCTCGTGCTTTATCTTTCCCATCCGGCCAACCCATGTCCATCTTGTCCATCTTGTCCCTTTTGCCATGTGCTTTTGTGGACATGGTCGTTCGTCTGTGTCCACACGCCACCACACACTACCACACACTCCACACCACCTCTCTTTCTTTACTGCGAAGTACTGCGTACGCTCTTTTTTCCCCTACTCGACCCTCGGGCGGGAATGCAACGAAAACTGCCCCGTCCTGTGCGACGTAATCGTTATCGCCCGCCCAGCAGTTAGATCTGGACCTGCACGACTAACATGCCGACGGCGCCTCTTCTGCAAAGCATACACCCTGACAAGAGCCGCTCGCCATAGCCCGCGCCGTCACTCGTCTACCTTCCAGGCTACATACTGCTCAGGAATCTCTTTCTTTCTCTGACCACACTCTGTTACATACCACTACTGTCAGTTACCGCCGCCGAGGTCTGCTCTTCCACCACCCCATCGCGCCTTGTCGTTCGATTCCTCGAACCCAAATCGTAATTCTTTCTGATGCAATTGGACGCCCGCAACTTGGCTTTGCACACTTGCCCCATGTTGGGTGAAGCATAGCCTGCCCTGCCCCATTTTGCGCGCGCACTCTCCGTCTACCGTCTTTGTGCGTGGAGGAAGCACGGCCTGATTTACACTACTTTTCTAGTTCTTCTGTGTCATTGTCACCGACTCGGCCGCCGTTCAACGTCGGCATGCTTGTCTCGAGAGTTTGATGCCAAGCCATGCTTCCTGCACCTGCTCTACCGCTGCCGTTACCGCTGCCACTCCCGTTACTTGCCTGATGCAAAAATACAGAGTAGTGCTGTATGGATTACAAGGTCGGTGAGCGCGAGATGGACAGCTAGTCCCTGAAGGAACTTGGTCAACAGAGTGTGAGGCCATGTCCGTCCCATCCTGTCCTGTCCTGTCCCTTCCCATCCCATCCCCTCCCATCCATCCCGTCCTATCCCATCCCGTCCCATCTACCTACTTGGACTTGTCCACGGAGTCCTTGTCCATGCCATGCTCCAACCCCATCCTGATCCCCATACCCCAGCAAACCAAGGTTTGGGACCTTCTCTCGTTTGGTTCTTGGGTTGGTCGGTCGTTCTTTGCGCCTGGCACCGAACCCAAGTCTACGCCCGCCGGCCAGTCAGTCGCTGCCTTCGCCTCCTCCTCTAATACGCCCCCTTAGTATCGACATCCACCCAGACGAGACGTGCCATTCATAGTGAAGGGGGCCTCGGGGCGTGGAAGAAGTTTTAAGGCATTGGACCGTATTTCGAGACTGCTTCTCACTTGCTGCTGATGCTGCGTTGCTGCATGTCGCTCGCCGGCGGTCTGAGTCTCTTGCTTGACGTCTCCTAAGTGCTGTTCAGCAGATCCTCCTTGTGGTTGAAGACGCGCGCAATAGCTGATAGAGGGTGGGCTGCCGCGAGGACAATCCATCTGCATTTCGCAGCCGCAATTCTTCCCCCGGATACATATATATCTATATTTTTTTTCCCCCTTGTGGTTGGTCTGCCGCGTCTGGGTACCTGAGCAGAAACATCCATCCGTCCTCTCTGTCCGTCTCCTCCTTCTGACTCTACCTGGCCATACCTTACCTACTGCTCTTTATCCTCCTTGACCTTTCTTTCTCTCTCCCCCCCCCCCCCCCCCCCCCCCCCCTCTACACTTACTCTTTTCCCCTTCCTCTCTTCTTCTTTCTTTCCATTCCTCTATTTCTCTCTCTCCGTTTCTTCCTCACTCCGTCATCCTCGCCACCCTTCCCATTAAATAATAATATTATTCCGTATCGAGCAAACGAAGACCCGGGAGGAGCAAAGGGAAAGAAAAAAAATCGACACCCCAGGATTACCGGTGCGGCGCATCCAATAACGGATCCTTGAAAAAACAGTAAAGAGTAGACATCGCCTCTTACATATACTTTTCCCCAGGGCCCAATGACACTGATAAGCCAGGCTTATCTCATCCTTGCCTTCATCGTCACTTGAGCCCACCCGATATCGATCCATCCAAAAGCAAGCCGTCCAATCCCAGGAATTGCATCTAGCCCCAAATTCGGCCCTGCATCCGCACCCCCAAAAACAAAAACCACCACCATCCATTTCCATCACCAAAAACGGGCGCAAATCAACCCATCTTGCCCACTCTCGCAGCGCCGCTTTATCTCCATCTCTATCGGCCGCCCAAATCCCCGACCACCACCAACTCGGAATCCTGCAACCTAACCCACCCCCGATTTCTAACATAGCACCAGAGGGTATTCTAGCGTCCCCGTTTACAATTCCCGTTGCTGCTTATCTCGTACCTCTTCGCCTCGCGCAACACCTT